CTGGTCAAAGCTGAGGGTACGTTAGGTTTGAATGTGCCAACCCCTATAGCATCTGAAAAACAGCTATATCTCCTCCAGGAGGCGGAATTTCTCGGCGTGTTTTTCATTTTTTGAAAGCCGAGGTTCTGCTCGATCGAACGATGTACAAGCCTTACTATATTATTGGGCAAACTTGAGAGGACGGTAGGCTTGAATGTCTCAAACCTATATTTCTATGGTAATGTACAATATCTATTGATCTGTAGTGATCAAATGCCTATCAATGAAACCCTCAGCGCTAGTTGAGATAGCTTCAATTAAGCAGCTATAGCTCCTTAACTAAGCAAAATCGCTCGACAAAATACATATTTTTTTAGAATTTCAAGAAAACATCTATATCTCCTCATCTATATCTGTGCAGAAGTGCTCTTCAAAATATTCTATGAGTGGAATTTTTCTAAATGGAGATCGTGTGTGTCACGTTCAGGTACCTTTACCCCCAGACATTGTCAGCACTATGATGCTTCATTCTATATGCGCTACAGAACATGAGTTCTACTTTAGAAAAGTGTACATGTTTGAAAGGAAGTCTTCAACCGCTCGAGACGCTGCCCACCCGCTCGATATAATTATAGTGTCCTTAACCATCACTATTTCGTGCAAATTACTGGTGCACTTAACTCTTCTGGATCTTCTTTATTGCAATCGCGTGCATCACGTTTATTTCACATAAATGTTCATATAATATCACGCAATACAAGTCAGATCTGTTCACAAATCCTCCAGTTTGTTGATGGATTCTCCCGGATAGATGAGTTGTAGTCCTAGCTTTCCAACATTGAAGTCACGTAAACCGACACGTCCAACGTTGTAATAATAGAATGGTACCTTGATCAAAAATTGTCGATAGTGGCCCTGAAGTGATGATTTTGCTCAACATAATCTGATCAGATGAAAACACAGTCACTACTTGTTGAGATGCTTGCCCAACATATGTGTATATGGGACATATGGATGAGTTCAACGAGTACGATAAACCATTTCTGACGAATAGGAATGTTTATTCGGTATACATTACTATGAACCCATAATTATAATCAAATCTATCGCTGAATATCACCATAAGCATGAAAACATGAAATTCATGATTCAAGATTAAATGTTAATGCTCTAATCGAAATTTTTGAAAAATGTTCTAGATTTCATTATCAGTCAAGTATTTCATCAGATTCAGTTGCTTGTAGCCGATTCAAATCGAGCTTTTTAAGAGGTCTGAATGCCTTAATCATATACCTTTGATATGTCATCTACGGACATATCACACTGATGCGATATTTGCAAGATTGGCTCTTCTAGTTTCGCTCTACCGCTATCAACTGCAAACGAAGTGTAATCGACGGTCTGTTCGACGATGAAATTCTCGCTTGCTGTAATACAATTTCTTCGGAATATCCTTTGAAAATCATGAAGAATCTAATAGCTGGGCGCACATCTTCAAGCATATTGTTGCGTTTGATTTTTAGTCACATTGCAATGAAAATTTTGAAAATACCAACGGAAACATGTTCGAATTTTAGGATTATATGGAGAGCAGAAACGTGGACCGTGTTGAAATGTTAGAAATGTTGAAATGGTTTTAGATTACTTTGTTCCCAGGCTGAGAACAATCGCACAATTCGAACAGCATTCGGCTGGCTCGTGCAAAACAGTTCGCCGGTGATTCTCATGGCTGAAATGTGATCGCATATACATTCCAAGTGTTTTACATGAGGCGCTGACAAGAAACACTCATCATAATGACAAATGTCATTTATCAACAACAACAACAGCCATTTAACAATTTTGACTAAACTTCTGTTT